CTACTACTACTACTACTATTGCAACTACTACTACTACTACTACTACTACTACTACTACTACTACTACTACGACTACTACTACTACTACTACTACTGCTACTACTACTGCTACGACTACTACAAAGACTACTACTACGGCTACGACGACGACGTCGACTGGAAAGGTACGGACTTGTATTAGAATCCCTGCACGTACAGGCACGGGATTTCGGGGGAATGATCTAACCACTTAACAGCACGGCGAACCATGCTCGAAAAACAATTCGGCCGCCAACCCTGCAACTCATTGTTTAAGCCAGAGGTTGGGGGGGGGAAGCTACAGATTTTAAGTCCTCCTGCGATTCTTGCACGCCCCCTCCCCGTCCGTCTAAGATTCGGCGTCGGGGTGTTGCCGGTCTCTCCAGAACCGCGATAACCCTACAGCCATACCAGGACAGCCTGGTCCAAGGCTGGTCCTGGGCTCGACTCCCGACCGTGGCTCGCCGCTGCGGGGCCTCCACCACAACCGTCTTGCCAGCGCGCACGGCGTCCCGCAGCGGGCACCCTCGAGCGGGCTGGGCAACACTGTCTTCAGTCTGGGATGATGTGCGGGGAAGGTAAGGAAGCGAGAGAGAGAGAGAGAGGTAGAGATAAATAAATAGAGAAAGAGTAGAAGTAAGTGGGAGAGGGAAACAACAACTGCGAGAAAGAAAAAGCGGAATACACACGCGTATAATCATATATATATATATCGAGAGGGAGACAAACAAAAACACTGGGAAGGAAGAAAGCGGAGGAACAAGTTGGCGACTACAAAGAAAGAGAGGGCGACAAAGAGAGAGGGAGAACAACAGAAACCGGGCGAAGGACTCAACCATATGCAGTTGTGAATACCGCAGTTGTAGGTATCGTCTTTGGTGAAGCCCCTTTATAGGGCCACGAAGCGCTGTACCGGGCGGGGGAGACGCATCGGGCTTCGACGCTGGGACCGTCGGTGGAGCTCCCTGTGGGGCCAAGAAACGTTGTACTGGGTGTGGGAAACGCATGCGGGCTGCGCCACTGGAACCTTCGGTGGAGCTCACTATGGGGCCACGACACGCAGTACCGGTTATGGGAAACGCATGCGGACTGCGCCACTGGCACCTTCGTTGGACCTCCTTATGGGGCTACGAAGCGCTGTACTGGGTGTGGGAGACGCATGCGGGCTGCGCCACTGGGGCCTTCGGTAGGGCTCCCTATGGGGCCACGAAGCGTTGTACTGGGTGGGGGAAACGCATGCGGGCTGCGCCACTAGAGCCGTCGGTGGAGCCCCCAATGGTGCCACAAAACGCTGTACTGGGTGTGGGAGACGCATGCGGGCTGCGCGACTGGGACCTTCGGTGGAGCTCCCTGTGGGGCCACGAAACGTTGTACTGGGTGCGGGAGACGCATGCTGACTGCGCCACTGGCACCTTCGTTGGAGCTCCTTATGGGGCTACGAAGCGCTGTACTGGGTGTGGGAGACGCATGCGGGCTGCGCCACTGGGGCCTTCGGTAGGGCTCCCCATGGGGCCACGAAGCGCTATACTGGGTGGGGGAACCGAGTGCGATGTGCGGATGAGGGAGGAGGGGGAGGAGGAAGGAAGGAGGGACGCGGCGCGCTGTTTCTTCAAAACGAGGGCCCGACGCCACAGGATTGTTGGGAAAAGAGGAACAAAGAAAAGAGAGGGACATAAAGAAAGCAATCAAGAAAGGGAAAGAGAGAGAGAGAGAGAGACAACGAGAAAAAGAAAGAGAGAGAGAGAGAACGAGAGACATATACATACACGTAGCACCCCGCAATTGCGGATAAGAGTGAGGGGGCGGGCGCGGGCGACGCGGGCGTCGTCGAGCCGGCGGACCTCGTGGCCCCCACCTTCCCTGTCGATGGCGATCTCCTCCTCCTCCTCCTCCTCCTCCTCCTCGTCCTCCTCCTCGTCCTCGTCCTCATCGTCATCGTCATCCTCCTCCTCCTCGTCCTCCTCCCCCTCTTCTTCCTCGTCCTCCCTCTGCCCCCTCGTCCTTTCATCATCGTCCTCCCATTTTCGTCCTCCCCCTCATCGGCCTCCATCATCGTCCTCCCATTGTCGTCCATCATCATCATCCTCCCCCTCCTCCCCCTCCTCGTCCTCCTCCTTCCCCTCCTCCCCCTCCTCCCCCTCCTCGTCCTCCTGCTCCTCCTCCTTTTCTCTCTCCACATTATCCTTACATCCTCTCTTCTTCCGCGTTCTCCGCGTCCCCTGTTTACTCCTCCTGCCTCCCCCTCCTTTCCCAAGATAACTGCAACGCAGTCCTTTCTTCCACTTTATGCTCCCCGCCTTCTCTGATCAAGGCAACTCGCCAGGGCAAAGTTGCTGGACGGGCTGGTGTGGATGCGCGGGGCTTGAAGAGGTCCTTGCGGGCTCAGACGGCATGCGAAAATCCGCCGCCGCGCTTGTGCGGCATTGGTTTGTTCAGTGAGCGTGGTTTAGGTCACGGGTGGGTCGCGGGCTCTCCACCTCCACCTGGAAGGAATGCAAAAGCAGCCCGCCGCAGGCGCCAACAAAAATTGGTTTGTTCACTGAATGTGGTTTGGGTCGCGGGTGGGCCGCGGGTTCTCCACCGGGAACGAATGCAAAAGATGCCCGCCGCAGGCGCCGAAAAATGTAGTTTGTACCCTGAACGTGGTCGCGGATGGGCCGCGGGCTCTCCACCTGAAACGAATGCAAAAGATGCCCGCCGCAGGCGCCGAAAAATGTGGTTTGTACCTTGAACGTGGTTTGGGTCGCGGGTTGGTCGCGAGTTGGTCACGGGGTGGGTCGCGGGCTCTCCACCTGGAAGGAATGCAAAAAAAGCCCGCCGCAGGCGCCGAAAATGGTGGTTTGTACCTTCAACGTGGTTTGGGTCGAAGGTGGGTCGCGGGTGGGTCGCGGGGTGGGTCGCGGTTGGGTCGCGGGTGGGTCGCGGGTGGGTCGCGGGTGGGTCGCGGGGTGTGTCGCGGGGTGGGTCGCGGGGTGGGTCGCGGGGTGGGTCGCGGGGTGGGTCGCGGGGTGGGTCGCGGGGTGGGTCGCGGGGTGGGTCGCGGGGTCGGTCGCGGGGGGGTCGCGGCTGGGTCGCGGGTGGGTCGCGGGGTGGGTCGCGGGTTGGGTCGCGGGTGGGTCGCGGGGCGGGTTGCGGGTGGGACGACGACAACAAACAACAACAACAACACACAACAGAAACAACAACAACAACAACAACAACAACAACAACAACAACAACAACAACAACAACAACAAAAATTACTAGCACGTGGGGACACTCCGTTCTCACCAGTGCCAGGGTTTTCGTAGGAGGCGGGCAATACCCCCACTTTGTGGGGGGGCCGGTTCAAGCTCTACCAAATTTCCAAACGACTCTTCGCCACCACCCACACCCAGCTTCCCGCCCTATGACGTTCGGACACTTCACTTCGTGGCATGCGGACGACCGTGGCTACTATTCAGGGCCCCGCGGCCGACGACGACGGCGTGCGCGCGCGAAGAAAAAACGAATGTGTCCCGCATGGTATTATTTGACAGGGATGATGGCCCTGGCAGGTGCGCAACCGTTGTTGGAGAAGTTCGAAGCACGTGAAAAAGTTGCTCGCAAAAGCCCGTATGACAGAAATTATTAAAAAGTGTTGGGTTTCCTACAAATCCGCAAGAGCGCGCGGGATGAAATTTTGAGAATTTTTGTTTGAAAAACCATTGGTTTTTTGATGCTTTTATGTTTAAATCGCTACGAAAACTAAGGTTTTGGAAGGATTTCGTCTTGCGCGCGCGAATGTCCACTTTACTTCTTTTTTTGCAAGGGATTCTTGAAGTTTGGTTATGTCAGAACAAGAAATGTCCACTTTAGCTCATTTTTTGCAAGGGAAAACCGATCGTAACAACACAACCGGATCCGGACTCCCCCGTTTTGCCTGAGACGTCCTCACGAAAATGATGAAAATGAGGCTGCGGCCTAGGCGCGGCGGGGGGGTCGTGCACCAGGGGCCCCAGCAATAATTATTCTTTAGAAGTAATAATGTTCAACAACAATAACAACAACAACAACAACAACAACAACAACAACAACAACAACAACAACAACAACAACAACAACAACAACAAACAACAACAACGAGACTCCGCACCGCGGAATCCCACGTCAGCCACGCACCCAGGGACAGTGAATGACCGTTCGGCCCCCTCACTCTGACGTAGAGCGCGAGAACCAGAGAGATATAGACAACAGTGAGTGTGTGTGTACGAGAGCTAGAGGGAGACACATGTCTGTACTGACTAAGCGTGTTTTGCTCAGGGCGCGAGACAGAGAGAGAGACAGAGAGACAGAAAGAGTGAAACCAAAGATATTAGAACCTGTTCCTGGATACGGACCAGAAGATGCAGTCGTGCGTGCCACCGGTGGAGCTCCCTGTTGGCCATGCGAGGGGCGCGCCGAAGGGGGGGCGGGGAGATCCCGTGAGTCTTAGGTGGAGCTGCCCGTGGGGAAGCGAGGCGTGCGAGGGAGGCGACGGAGTGGGCGGGGGGGGCCCGTCCGTCGCCACCCACGGAGGCCGCAGGCGAGATGCCCTTTGCGCTGAAGAGGGCGGGGAAACACCATGCGTCTGCTCCCGCCGACGCCGTGCGTGGAGGTCCCTCCGGGGCTACGGAGCGTGCGAGGCGTGCGCCGAATTGGGCGGGGGGGCTCCACGCATCTGCGCCCGAAGAGACCGCCAGTGGAGCTCCGCATGGGGCCACGAAAAGTTTGAGGGGTGAGCCGAGGTGGGCGGGGGGGCAGCATGCGGCTGCGCCCGCTGTGACCGTGATGTGCGTGCGGAGGGCAGAGGCAGGAAGGGGAGGGAAGGTGGGTCAGAGGGAAGATGGTGATGGTGATTGTGATGCTGATGGTGCTGATATTTGAATAAATGTGGATATGAGAATAAGGAAGATGGTAATGATGATGATGAGGATGATGATGATGCTGCTGATGATGATGATGATGATGGTGCTGATAATGATGATGAGGAACATGATGATGATGATGGTGGTGATGGTGATGATGATTGTTATGATGATGCTGCTGATGATGATGATGGTGATGGTGGTGCTGATGATGATGGTGTTGATGGTGATGATGATGATGATGTTCACGATGATGATGATGGTGATGATGATGATGATGATGATGATGATGAGGCTGATGCTGATGCTGATGCTGATGATGCTAATGATAATGAGAATGATGATCACGACCATGACATGCGGAGGGCAGAAGCAATCATGGGTGGAGGAAGGAGGGGGAGTGGGATGGGATGAGACACGGGGCGTGGCAGATTCAAAGCGAGTGCCCAAACTCAGGACAAGATGGTTGTGAACAACTAGCCTGGCGAAGGACCCAACCCTGTGCAACCTCGAGGATCTCAGGATACCATCTCTTCATAGGTGTCGAGCCGCGATGGGGATGGTTCCTGGAGCAGGGCGGAGGCGCCATGCGGACCCTGCGCCTGCTGGGGCCAATAGAGCTCCCTGTGGGGCCACGAGACATGTGAGGGTTGTGCCGAAACGGGCGTAAGCACGCATGCAAGCCCCATAGCGAGCTCCACCGAAGGCCCCAGTGCCGCCGCCCGCATGCGTCACGCACGCCCATTTCGGCACACCCCTCACACGTTTCGTGGCCCCATCGGCAGCTCCATCGAAGGCCCCAGTGCCGCCGCCCGCATACTTCACGCACGCCCATTTCGGCACACCCCTCACACGTTTCGTGGCCCCATATGGAGCTCCACCGAAGGCCCCAGTGCCACCGCCGGCATGCGTTGCGCACGCCCACATGGTGCCACGCAGCGTGTGAAGCGGGTGCCAAAATGAGTGTGGGCATACATGCAGCGCCTTGCGCGAATCTCCCTGCAGGGACGCGAAACGTGTGAGGGACGTGCCGAAATAGAAGCGGGCACACATGCAACACTTGCCAATGCGGCCTCCGATGGAGCGCCCCACGAAGCCACGAGACGTGTGAGGATGTGCTGGAATAAGCGCGGGCGCGCAGGCAACATTTGCCACCGGGGCCTGGGGTGTAGCCCCCTGTGGGGCCACGAAACATGTGAGTGTGCCGAAGTGGATCTGCGGAGGGCAGGGGCAAGGAGGGTAGGGGGCAAAGGGAGGTGAGACGCGCGGCGCTGGAAGGAGTACGGCGGCGCCCCCGACATCATCGTGCAACAATGCACCAAGCCATTTTCTTTCATCGTTCGAAAAATCAGTGAGACATCTTCCTGGAGTCCAGCCCCGACGGTACGGACATGACCAAAACTCCTACGTAGCGCGTGTCCACACCAAATTCACTCTTCCATTCGTTTCCAGGCGATTTAGCAATCGACCATGAAGGCGACAGGGCAAGAAATGCTGAGGAGACCATCCGAAGAAACGATGACGCAACACCATCAAGCGTGGCTCGCACTTCCATTGAGCAGGGACCGACCGTCCCGGCATTCCTATAGTCCTACCACGAAATGTTCTTAGAACCCAGAAATGTTCTAAGAACAACAAACAATGTTCTTAGAACATAAACCCGATGTGTTAAAACGAGACAGTCCCGGCCAGAAATACTCTAGGAACATCTCGTGCAGACCACAAAAAGATCTTAGAACATTGCTTGGTGGGGCTATAGGCGAGCCGGGACGCTTCGCCACTGCTTGATGCCAACGGTAGCCATGGCAGCCCCCCGACCAGCAAGACCGGACATCGGGCGCGCCGGCTGTGTCGTTCACGTCGGGCACGCCGTGCCTGAGCAGCGACAGCACGACGTCCTCGACGCACGAGATGCAGGCAGCGCCGAGCACCGAGACGCCGTCGGCGCTCCTGGCAGAGGTGCTGGCTCCCCGCTCCATCAGCAGCCTGGCGGGAGGGCGTCCCGGTCTCCCTGCAGTGGAGGCGTATAGTGAGGACGGGTGGGAAGGGGGGCCGCCGTGGCCGAGCGTCTTCGTGGTCGGCCCGCCCCTCGGTCCGAAGAAGAGTTCGCAGTTGCTCGCTCCCCGCGTGCTGCAGGCACAATGACAGCGTATCGTGAGGACGGGTGGTAAGGACGCGAGACCCTTGGAGGCCGAGGTTGGGATCTGTTGGGCGGCGGCCTGAGAGGCTGGCCAGGGGAAGCAGCAGAGGACGGGCCGCAGAGGCAAGGACACAAGGGTACCCTAGACAAGGCGCGCGTCCTTACTGTGCGCGTTGACTGTACCTTTGGATGCCAAGAGAGCTCCGCCCCAGACGATGCTTCGTCGCGCCGTCTGTACAGGGTGAGGCAACGAACAAAAACCACTTGCAGGGGCGTTCAAGTTCTGGAGCCTCAGTGTAGTCATGGAAGAGTCTGCTCAACGCGGTCGGCAAATCAGGTAGGCGCTCCGCATGGTACGCCACCGTGCAACGAGGCACTGAGTCGAGTGTCCTCAGGTCCCATCGGGCTCTCTGTGTTGAGCTTTGTGCAGTTGAAGGGCCCAGGCCCCCAATTCTTGGACATCTTGGGCAGATCCGGCCGCCTCGTTGCGGAATTTGTCCAGTCAGGAGGGCTCCAACACTGCCCATGACGGCTTCGAGAAGGCCCAAGAGGCCGCCAAGACGAAGACGCCCCAAGATGGCTACCAGAGGACTCCCAAGAGGGCCCCCACACGCTAAACCGACTGTGTTTCTAAACAAGTTTCGTGTTCTGGTCTTTTCGGTTCTCAGACCACTGATGACGGCCCAAGAGATTCCCGATATCTCCCCAAGACGGCCTTACATGTGATCAAGAGGGTCCGAAGACGGCCCAAGAAAGCCCCGAGTCTGCTCAAAAGAGCCCGAAGACTGCTCCTAAAAGGCCCCCAAGACGGCCCCGAGAGGGGCCTAAGAGGGGGACCCCGAACTGAAATCAGGTCGTGCGTTTCCTCCTACAGGCGGATTTTGGGCGACTAAAAAAGAATCAACACTACGCAACATAATATTAGACATCGTCCCCAATTTGTGTTTTCCCCCCAACCATCCTGTGGTGTTGGGTCCTCGTTTTGACGAGACGGTCCCCGCGTCGCCTCCTCCCGCTGGGGGTGGCCACATGCGTCCGCCGCACCCAGGACAGCGCTTCGTGGCCCCATACGGAGCTCCACCTAAGGCCCCAGTGGGGGGTGGCCACATGCGTCCGCCACACCTAGTACAGCGCTTCGTGGCCCCATAGGGAGCTCCATCTGCGGCCCCAGTGGGGGTGGCCACATGCGCCCGCCACACCCAGTACAGCGCTTCGTGGCCCCAGAGGGAACTCCACCTGATGCCCCAGTGTGGGTGGCCACATGCGTCCGCCACACCCAGTACAGCGCTTCGTGGCCCCATACGGAGCTCCATCTGCGGCCCCAGTGGGGGTGGCCACATGCGCCCGCCACACCCAGTACAGCGCTTCGTGGCCCCATAGGGAACTCCACCCAAGGGCCCAAGTGGAGTGGCCACGCGCGTCAGCTACACCCAGTACAGCGCTTCGTGGCTTCATGGGGAGCTCTATCTAAGGCCCCAGTGGGTGTGGCCACATGCGTCCGCCACGCCCAGTGCAGCGCTTCGTGGCCCCAAAGAGAGCTCCACGCAAGGCCCCAATGGGCCAATACAACGCTTCGTGGCCCCATAGGAACTCCACCTAAAGCCCCAAAGGGATTGCCACGTTCCGCCGTCACACTCGATACAGCGCTTCCTTGCCCCATAGGGAACTCCACCTAAAGCCCCAGAGGGAGTAGCCACACGCGTCCGCCACACCCAATACAGCGCTTCGTGGCCCCATACGGAGTTCTACCTAAGGCCCCAGTGGGGGCGGCGACACGCGTCCGCCACACCCAGTACAGCGCTTCGTGGCCCCATACGGAGCTCCACCTAAGGCCCCAGTGGGGGGTGGCCACATGCGTCCGCCACACCCAGTACAGCGCTTCGTGGCCCCATACGGAGCTCCACCTAAGGCCCCAGTGGGGGTGGCCACATGCGTCCGCCACACCCAGTACAACACGCCCTAGCCCCATAGGGGGCCCCATCTGCGGGCCCAGTGGGTGTGGCCACATGCGTCCGCCACGCCCAGTGCAGCGCTTCGTGGCCCCATAGGGAGCTCCACCTGCGGCCCCAGCGGGGGTGGCCACATGCGTCAGACACACCCAGGGCAGCGTTTCGTGGCCCATAGGGGCCCCACCGAAGGCCCCAGTGGCACCGCCCGCATGCGCTTCCCCCCAGCCATTACCGCACGTCCCTCACGCGCTTCGTGGCTTCATAGGGAGCTCCACCGAAAGCGGCACCCACAACGCGTTACCGACAGCTGCATATGGTTGGGTCCTCCGCCAGGATTGCCACTATTACCTAACAGTGAAGACTGATAGGTTTCTAGTGGGCTCAAAACTGGATAAAAGCAAAAAGCATCTTGACTCCCCAAGGGGGTCTGGGCGGATGCCGGGGAGAATCCGGAGACTCCCCGGGACTCCCCAAGGGGGTCTGGGCGGGTGCCGGCGGGGATCCGGGGACTCCCCAGAACACCATTCCCAGGCCACATTTTGAATGCCCGGAGCCAGCTGTAGGCCACTTCGTGTTCTTCGTCTTCCCAAAACACAACTCCCAAGCCACATTTTGAATGCCCGGAGCCAACTGTAGGCCATTTCGTGTTCAGCGTCTTCCAGAACACCATTCCCAGGCCACATTTTGAATGCCCGGAGCCAACTGTAGGCCACTTCGTGTTCTTCGTGTTCCCAGAACACCATTCCCAGGCCACATTCTGAATGCCCGGAGCCAACTGCAGGCCACTTCGTGTTCTTCGTGTTCCCAGAACATCAGTCCTGGGCCATATTTTGATTGCCCGGAGCCAACTGTGGGCCACTTCGTGATCTTCGTGTTCCCAGAACATCAGTCCTGGGCCATATTTTGAATGCCCGAGCTGAGGCAGGCTGAGGCCGAGGCAGGCTGAGGCCGAGGCAGGCTGAGGCTGAGGCTGAGGCACGCCGAGGCAGGCTGAGGCTGAGGCTGAGGCAGGCTGAGGCTGAGGCAGGCTGAGGCTGAGGCTGAGGCAGGCTGAGGCCGAGGCAGGCTGAGGCTGAGGCTGAGGCAGGCTCAGACTGAGGCTGAGGCAGGCTGAGGCTGAGGCTGAGGCTGATGCAGGCTGAGGCTGAGAGGCTGACGCTGAGGCTGAGGCAGGCTGAGGCTGAGGCTGGGGCAGAGGCAGGCTGAGGCTGAGGCTGAGGCAAGCCGAGGCAGGCTGAGGCTGAGGCAGAAGCTGAGGCAGGCTGAGGCTGAGGCTGAGGCTGTGGCTGAGGCTGAGGCAAGCTGCGGCTGAGGCAGGCTGAGGCTGAGGCGGATGCAGGCTGAGGCTGATGCTGAGGCTGAGGCAGAGACAGGCTGAGGCTGAGGCCGAGGCAGGCTCAGGCCGAGACAGGCTGAGGCTGAGGCCGAGGCAGGCTCAGGCCGAGACAGGCTGAGGCTGAGACTGAGGCTGAGGCTGAGGCTAAGGATGAGGCCGAGGCAGGCCGAAGCTGAGACAATGAGAGGCTGAATGGGGGGGGAAGGGGGGGGGGAGGAGGGGAGGCTGAAGCAGGCTGATCCCGAGGCAGGCTGAGGCCGAGGCAGGCTGAGGCTGAGGCTGAGGCAAGCCGAGGCAGGCTGAGGCTGAGGCAAAAGCTGAGGCTGAGGCAGGCTGAGGCTGAGGCAGGCTGAGGCTGAGGCTGACGCAGGCTGAGGCCGAGACAGGCTGAGGCTGAGGCTGAGGCAGGCTGAGCCTGAGGCCGAGGCAGGCCGAGGCTGAGTCTGAGGCAAGCCGAAGCAGGCTGAGGCTGAGGCTGAAACTGAGGCAGGCTGAGGCATCCGTAGGAATCCATAGGAATTCTTAGGAATCCTTAGGAGTCCGTAGGCATCCTTAGGAATCCGTAGGCATAGTTAAGCATCCTCACGAATCCTTAGGAATCCTTGGGATTCCCTAGGAATCCTTAGGAATCCGCAGGAATCCCTAGGAATCAGGATTCCTAAGGATTCCTAAGGTTTCCTAAGGATTCCGATGGATTCCTAAGGATGCCTTAGGAATCCCTAGGAATCCTCAGGATTCCCTTGGATCTGAAGGCCGTTGCCACTGCGACTGTCATTGCGAATGCGACTGCTACTGCGAGGACAGCAGAATTCTACAACTGGATTCTCACCTGAATCTTAAGGGGAATGCTTTCAGATATGAGTTTACACATCGCTGTTAGGTTGCTTTGCCGGGGTAACTCGTAGCATCGTGTTTTTTATTATTTTACAGAATCCCGGCGAAGGGCCCAACCATATGCAGTTGGGAGTACCGCAATTGTGAACATCTTCTTCGGTGGCGATCCCTGTGGGGCCACGAACCGTGCGAAAAAGCTGTGCCGACATGCGCGGCGGGGTGCACACCACGAACGGAAACGAGATGCCTGATCACGGGGGGCACCGCGGGTGAGACTGAGCGCGGGCGCGTCCGATTGTGATTGTTCCTGCGTGCGAGTACGGCAGGTTCGTGCGGCGTCGGCGCGCGCAAAGGTTTTTGACACCGCGTCGATCGTTCAACCTTGAATGAATCGCGGACCCGATCGTTCAAGGTAGAATTCCGTCGGGCCCAATGGCGGTATCTTGTCCCTCGGTGCTTCCGCGTCGCAGAATTCAACATTGAACGCCTTCGCCGGCGTCGCCGGCGCGCCAACGCCGCGCGAACCTACCGTAAGTCGATGTGCATGAATGCGAGCATGGATACGTCTAGTGTAAATGCATATGACTGTGAAGGGCCTGGCGGGGGCCACGAAGCGTCAAGGGCCCGGCGGGCCACGAAGCGTGTGACGGGCGTAGTGGGTGTGGCGGACGCGTGCGGGCACCCCCACTGGGGCTGCAGGTGGAGGTCCCTATGGGGCCACGAAGCG